CTCATGTCCGAGGTATTATATTGTGTATGAATTTTTTTCAAATCTTATCACCTCTTGTGATACAATATCACTAAGAAAATGTAGTCTAACATCAATGTACTTTGTGCGTTCGTGAAAGACAGAATTTTTGGATAGATATATAGAAGATTGACTATCTAAATATACTATCATATAGTCATTTAAAACACAAATTTCATAAAACAAACCTCTAAGACACAAAACCTCTTTAATTGCTCCAGTAGTAGCAATATATACTGATTCTGTCGTAGATAGTACAACTATGCGTTGTAACTGTGATTTCCAACTAACACAAGAATTAGACAAAGTAAACACATAAGAAGAAATTGATTTTCTATTATCCCTATCCTCGTATAGTCCACATCTACAAAATCTTTCAGTTTTACCCCTTCTTTGTTAATACCAAACTTTAGACCTACATCACTAGTTCATTTTAAATATCTTAACATCTACTTTAAGGCTTCCCAATTCTCCGGACCCAGATTAGACATGTACCTACTAAGAGCACTAACAGCAAAAGATAAATCCGATTTAGTTCAAACCATCAAATACGTAATAGATCCAATCAAATTAGAATATGGAATCCTACTCATGTATTCTATTTCATTTTCATTACAAAGAGCCCGATCTTTAGATAATACAAAATTATTGACTAAATGTAATGTAACATGCTTGCAATCATGCATTCCAGGTCTTTTCAACACCTTTGAAACATAAAATGACTGATGTAAAAAAATACAGAATTTGACCTATCTGTTTCAATTTCCATACCTAGGATTCTAACTTTACATAGATCTTTCATGTCAAATTCGTCATTCAACTTTTTTTTATCTTGCTTATCCACTTAGGTGATGAACCAACTAAGAGCATATCATCCACATAGAACAATAAAAACGTAGTCATTATTAGCATCATTATGTTGGAAATACATGTAATGATCAAACTTACCCTTTGAAACTCTATAGTGTATACAAAAGAATCAAATATTTTATACCATTACCTAGGTGATTGTTTTAAGTTATATAAAGACATGTTCAAAAGACACACATGATCAGGACTTAGTTTGTCTTTAAAACATTTTGTTTAATTTATAAAGATTTGTTCATCAAATTCACCATGTAAAAAAACAATGTTTGCATCAAGTTGTTTAAGTTCCTTATCAAAACGTGTAACCAGTACAAGCACTACCCTAATAGTAGTGTACTTAACAACTGATGAAAAAATCTCGATATAATCAACACTCTCATTCTGTATGTACCCTTTAGCCACTAACTTAACTTTAAATCTTGGGGGTTCAGATGTGCTAGTACCCTCCTTAACCTTAAAAACCCACTTACATTCAACAGTAAATTTATTTTTAGGTTTAGGTACTAATTCCCAAGTTTGATTCTTCTCTAAAGAACTCATCTCATCTTTCATTGCCTAGTAAATTTATTCTTAGGTTTAGGTACTAGTTCCCAAGTTTGATTCTTTTTTAAGAAACGTATATCTTCTTTCACTGCCTTAAACCACTCTTCATCACCTCCTCAAATGTTTTTAGCTCTTTATCAATTAGCTCCTCATAACTAGCATGAGCAAAAACTAACTCGGATTCATATCCAAATCTTCTAAACGTTCTCGTTTGTCTTATCTCTCTATCCCTAGCTAAGTTATAATCTGCTAAGAGATCTTCATCCTCATAATGCTCTTTTATCACTACTTCCTCTCCAATCTTCATCTCAAGTTGTTGAACTTAAGTCTCCGCCTCATTAAAGTTGGCAGGGACGGATGTGCAAAGTTTTCCTAACTCCACCTTCAACCGATATCTCTCTTTACCTTGTTCTTATTTACTTGCAAGTTTAGATTCAGTCTTAAGATACAACATTTCACCCTCGTTAAACATAACATCTCTATTCACAATAATCTTAACCCCCTTTTAGCTTCTATCCCATAAACTGTAACTTTTGACACTCTTAGTGTAACCTAGAAAAACACATTTTTTAGTTCTACGTTAAAAATTTTCCTCACTATGATGAGAAAATGCAATACAGCCAAAAGTTTTAAACACGGAATAAACACTAAGCTTACGACCATTTTTCATGAGGAGTATAACCATTCAATGCAATAGATGGAGTCAAATTAATCAAATAACAAGCAGTTATAACAACTTCTATTTAAGGTCATGTCATATTACATGTTGCATCATTTGTTCGTATAAGGCCAACTGCTTATTATAAATATTCACCTTTGTAACTTGCATTTTGTCGTGAACCTAATATTTCTTACATACAGTTTTTTGGTTGTGATGTCCAAGTCTCTATTTCACCCCCATAACTTACTAAAATGGGTCCCCAACGAAAACTTGGTATTTATGTGAATTTTGATTTACTATCTATTATTAGGTATCTTGAATCTTAACGGGTGATTTATTTACTACACGTTTTGTAGATTGTCATTTTGATTAAATGAATTTTCCAACTTTGAGAGGAATATGAGCAATCAATGTGAGCAGGAGGTTGAAAAAATCATTCATTTGCAAAGAGTTTCACATCAGTTACCAGTTGTATTTGTTGACACAAGAAAAGCAATAAAGTCATATATACTAGTAGAAAATATTTCAACAAAAATTAATGGTATCTACTGTAGCAAATGAGTCTCAAATACGCCAAAAACGTATTTAACCAATTGGTTAAAACGACTCCATACCTCGAAAAAGAAAAGTACAAGAAAAAAATCAACCAAAAACTTCAGAAAAAGTAATATTGGAAAAAAATGATCAATCAAATATTGAAAATATGGTTCCCGAAGAACCATAAGTGTCTAAAAAATAATGATATTTCAATAAATTATATGTTATCTCATAAATTATAGGAATGAAATAATATTGTTATAGACAATATTTTCACCTTTCACGTGGCCCTTGATATTATGCGAAATGAGAATTCTAAACCATGATCTGTTAAAGACTGTCAATATAGAAATGATTGGCCAAAATTGAAAGAAGTCATACATGCCAAATTGAATTCCTTAGAGAAACGGAAAATATTTGGACATGTAGTTTGAACACTTGAAAATGTAATTCATATATAAGATACAAATGAGTTTTTATATGAAAGAGAAATGAAAATAATGAAATTATAAGATACAAAATCCGACTCATAGCTCAAGGTTTATCACAAAGATCAGGAATTGATTATGAGGAAACATATTCTCCCTTAATGGACATCATCACTTTTAGATTCTTAATTAGTTTGATTTTGTCACAAAGACTCTATGTGCTTCTTATGGAAGTAGTAACTGCATATTTGTATGGTTCACTTGATAGTGACATATATATGAAAGTTCCCGAAAGCCTTAAAAGTGCCGGAGCAAACAATACATGTTCAAAAACCGTATTCTTAATTAAATTGTAGAGATCATTATATGGATTGAAACAATTTGGACGCATGTGGTATAATTGTCTTAGCGAATATTTGTTAAAGGAATGATATAAAAATGATGACGTATGCCCATGTGCTTTCATAAAGAAAACAAATATTGAATTTGCAATTGTGACAATTTATATTAATGATTTAAATTTAATTAGAACTCTTAAAGAGCTCAACAAAACTGCAGATTGTTTGAAAATTAAATTTGAGATGAAAGATTCAGAAAAAATTAAATTCTGTCTGGGATTGTAGATTGAATATTTTCTAGAAGAATTATTTGTTCATTAATCTACATATACATACAAAGTTTTAAAACGCTTTTATATGGATAATGTACATCTATTGGCATCACTTGTGGTTGTATGATCACTTAATGTAAAAAAATCAATTTCGTTCACTTGGAGATGGAGAAAAAGTTTTTAGTCCTGAAGTACTTGCAAACTGCACTCGACCCGACATAATTTTTTCTGTAAATTTCCTTACAAAATATAGCTCTACACCAACACAAAGACAATAAAATGGTGTTAAAACATATTTTTCGTTACCTATATAGTATTATTGATTTGAGATTATTATCTTCTTAAAAGTTGAGATCTATTTTAGTGGGATATGCAAATGCATGTTATCTCTCTGATCCATTTAAAGTTAATCACAAACAGAACATGTGTTTACACGTAGATGAACAGTTATACTATGGAGATCTATGAAGCAATCCTTGACAACAATATTCTCAAATCATTCTGAAATTATTGCAACAATGAAGCAGGCCGAGAATGTATATGATTGAAGAAAATGACCGATCATATCCAAGTATCATGTGAATTAAATTTAACAAAAGATAGTCTAACAATTTTGTATAAAAACAATACTGCTTGTATTGCACAACTCAAATGAGACTATATCAAAAGTGACAGGATAAAGCATATTTCACCAAAATTCTTTCATACACACGAGTTTCGGAAGAATGACGACATCGATGCTCAACAAATTCGATCAAGTGACAATATGACTGATTTATTTACAAGCACTGCCAATATCTACATTCAATAAATTGGTTTACAAGATTGAAATGCATCGTCTCAAAGATTTTCAGTGATCAATTTCAGGGGGAATAGCTGTACTCTTTTTTCCTTTACTTAGGTTTTATCCCACTGGATTTTCCTAGTAAGGTTTTAATAAGACGATATTTATTTTTAATACTCCAAAATAACTGTATTATTTTTCATTCGTTTGATTTTTTTTTATTTTTTTTTTGTTCCATTGGATTTTTATCAAATAAGGTTTTAACGAACAAGATATTTTGTAATGTATCATTTAAGGTGAAGTGTTGTAAATAGTAAATTTATTAGTAAATAATAATTTTACCCCCATAATCCTAGAAATTATTACCATTATATCCCTAATCATTCTCTATAAATATAACGTTTTGATTTTCATTATAATACACACAAATCTATTGACTCATATTCTCTCTTCTTTTTTTCTCTTTTCATATAGGAACTATAAATTTTACTTATATTTTTTCTAATGTATCCCTATATTGAATAATGGCAATTCATATTTGTTGATAACGATAAACATTAAATAAGGGTATATTAAAAAATTAAGACATTTATACTCTCAATAAGTGACACAATTTAGGACAAAAAAAGGGAAGTAAATCTATTTTTGAATGACAGGAGTACATATTACTTCACTTGTTATAATAATTAGTGTTTTAAAATGTGCGCGAGGCGGGCATTTTTGAAATGAAATTGAAAATAACTCTTAAAAATCGTTTTTGAGTCACTAAATTTTTTGTATATTTGACCAAATTTAAATTATAATTTAAACTGATCAAATACTCTCTCCGTCCCATAGAGATAGATTTGCTTTCATTTTTACACAGATTAAGAACATATAATTAATATAGTTGAAAATATAAATTTTACTTCCATTTTTTTCTAATACACCCTTACATTAAATAATAATTTAAATATGAGCAGTTCATATTTGTTAATAAAAAAAATAAACATTAACTAGGGACATTAGAAAACTAAGAAATCAAGTATACTCTCAACAAGGAAATTTGCATATAATTTGGGGTATGCAAAAAAGAAAAGCAAGTTTATCTTTATGGAATGGAATGAATATTTTTTATATATTCATTTCATAGAATCTACAATTATTATTCACTTTTTCACACATTTCTTATAACTTACAATTTATAATCACTTGAAAACATTCTCAAATATGATTTTACTTCTGAAATGCATCTTATGTGCTAGCCATGTGAGATTTTAATACGAAATATGTAACACAAAATACTTCTTGTTATAATAATTAAAACTTGAAATATTTTGTGAAAAAAAATAGGAATTAAAGTTCTAAGCATTCATTTAGACATGGAACGAGAACAACGTGTTTATTCATCGTTATTTGAGAACTGCATTAAGACTGTAAGATTGTCTTTTAATGACAAAGAGGACCAATGATAAGGACAAATTCTGAAAATTCAACTTCAATTCACCAAAGACAACAGGTATATTCACACCATAATTTTTAACAATTAAATTACATGTTGATTGCATAAAAGGTTTATATCATTTACACATTGTCATATTTATGTCTATAATTTATTTTTATCGTATTCTTATTCACAAACTAACATAAATTATGATCTTTCTCCAAAATTTTATTTAAAATAGAGTAAAAAAACTCATTTGCCCATTGCCTTTTTTAAATAAGCAAAAAAATAATAATAGAAAAATACGATTAATATTTGACTCTCATTTTAAAGTACGTTAACGATATTTTGGACGAAAACCATGAGGACAAGATTCTAATCAATGAAATGTTGGAAGTTAACGATCTTTAATATAATTAAAATATGGTGTATTTATAATAAAAAAAATGTGGCAGGAATATAATCACCCTTACAAAAATCCTATGGGAAATCATATTTTACATAAACTAATTGGGTTAATGAAAAATTTACTAACAAAAACTTTTGAGCAGAGTATAGAGATGAAGATACCATTAAAATAAATATATTTGTTTCTTAACAACGACGTAGTTCGAAATAGTATCCTAACTAGTAAATGTTTTGGATTCAAATTTCGAAGTGCATTTAAGAAAATTGTGTATATATCAAAGTCTTCAATAAATAAATAAATAAAATACGCTTTCATACGAGGTGTGTAGTAGAAACAAGTTTTTTTAAAAGAAACCTCGTTTCCTTTCTAGAAGTTTAAACTTTTTTAGATTTCTTGAGAGGACCCACTCCTCTCTTTGGCTGCCTCTTTGTGCAGTATTGGACATAATAATAAATAAAATCTAAAATTATTTTTTATTTTTTCACATTGCCTTATCCACCATACAAAACCAAAAGAATGAGATAGGAAACAGCCACAAGTTAGATTGGAAGATGTCAAGCAAGAATGCCGCGTAGTTAACAACTATTCAACTAGACGACTTAAGCCGCCAGTTCAACCCTCTTGCCTATAAAATCAGGTGTATCAAATCGATTCCTACAAATATTAATAGACCGTTCTGAAAATTTCGACACACACACACACACAATTTAATCTCTCTTGAGTATCATATCTTCTCAGTCTTCGAGAAATGGCGATTGGATTAATGGAAGTGAAGCTGGTTGATGCTAAACGTCTCAAAAACACTGATTTCTTAGGTATGGATGGCTCTCAGTGTGTCTGTGTGTGTTTTTTTTCTCATATACTGTGTGTTAAATTTCATTATATCATTTATTTTCTACAACTATTTTTGGATTTGAATAACGATCACAGCGAAGAGCACTTTAAAAAAACCTGGTCAGATGATTATACATTATTTTGCAGGTAAAATAGATCCATACGTCTTGCTTCAATACAGAAACCAAGAGTGCAAGAGCAGCATTGCAAAAGGTATATATTGAGCTTGATTTAATTTCTTAGTGAGCTTAATTTCGAACAGATAATGACGGCTATCTATCTATAAAATTATGGCTATAGGCACCCACCCAACTAATCGTTAGGATGGTTTCAAATATTCNGAGAGAGAGAGAGAGAGAGAACCCCTTTCTATCCCTTTTCCATCTATTCTTTCTCTATTTCCAGTTATGAATGGGTTTGCTACGACGAGTTTTAACTGAGTCAACTAGGAGTCGACCTCGAGTCATTCTTGAATAAAATGGTTAAGACATTTACCACTGACTCTAAACACGGTTTGTTTTTTCCAGTCAGTTGAATGCATTACCTGTCAACATTTTCCAGGATTACTTGCAGGGAAATTAATTTGATTTGACTTGGTTTAATTTGTAAATTGCAAGCAATCAAACATTAATTTACGATAATAAACATTGATTAGCGTATGTAACATCAACAAGGAGATCACGATGCTCCAACAATAAGAGATGGCTTATTTTATAGAATCCTTTACAAAATAACTCATGAGATTTCAATTTCTATAATAACATAGGGCAAGGTCGCAACCCAATATGGAATGAAAAGTTTGAGTTTAGAGTTGATTATCCAGTGGCGGATGAGCAGTACAAACTCGTGCTCAAGATCATGGATCACGACACCTTCACTGCAGATGACTATCTCGGCCAAGCAACGTAAGACAAATCTCTTATTTAATTGTGTCTACTCTTATTCTTATTTAGTCCGATGTAACTTATGCTAACCTATATGCATACAGGATCTACGTGAAAGAACTTATAGAGTTAGGACTCGAGAAAGGAAAGGCTGAGCTCCATCCTCAAAAATACAGAGTCGTTTTGACCGATAAAACTTATCACGGAGAAATTCAAGTTGGAGTTACTTTTACTGCAAAGGTACCTTCATGAAATAATCTTTCAAACTCTCATGAAATTATTTGCGCTAGTTACTTTTTTCACATTATTATGTTACTAATTAGGCCTGGTCAATGTTTTTTTTTCATTACAGGAAGAAACTGACGAAGAAGAATATGGTGGATGGAAGGAAAGCAACTACTAGTTCATCCACCAACTAATTGCCAACGTATATACGGATTTTTCTGCATGCATAAATTTAATTTCAGTCAAAAAACCAAATTGAATGTACAATTCGTAGTTTCAATTCATTAGAATTATTCTTTCAATCTTTGAAGTAATTATAGTTGGATTCTTTGTAGAAGAAAAATTAGAAAATTATTCACTGTAAAATGGAAATGATTGTTAGTACTTTAGTGTACAAATAAAAACTGTTCATGTGTATGGGTAAGTATCAAGCAACGAATATGTCCATTGAACATTTGCAGGCATTCATTTACCTGGCGCAAATTCAAATATCGTATGGCAATACAGAAATTTCCTCAATTACATATCATCTACAATGAACTCAATGTCTCTCAAAAGAAATCGAGACGAGAAAAAAAAAAAACAAAAACTCAGCATTCCAAGAGGCAAGAGAAATATATTACATCAAGATAAAACAAAGTGGACAAATAATCCTGGAGACCCCATTCATAATAGAATTAATTTTTCAATTTTGGAGCAATGCATTAAAAATAATCATGGAGTGGGCTCGGCCAAGAAATTTACGATCCTATTTAACAGATTCAAACCAAATACAGTTTCTTCACAGTTGATTTTCACCGATACATCAAGTGGTTCAGAGCAAGTACCTTTGAGGGTAAGTGTGATTAAGCAGGGCATTGTGTTGCTCAATATCTCACCGCTAAATCTTAAGCATAAACCTGAAAGGTCATCAAGGTTGGCAGCAACAGGCATGTCCACAGAAACAAGGAACAGATTCGCATTGCTAAGCATCTTTAGTGCCAATTTCTCGCAGATTAGAAGGAAATTGTCTTTAACTAATGAGCTTTCATATTTGTCATTTAGCTCGCTAATGTGATCGGTGAAAGTACACCTGTTGCAATGGCAGGAAAAGAAATTAGTGAAGGATTCTTACGCAAAGAAAACAGATTAAAATTATGTTGAAATCGCAAGCCTGGGGTTTTTTTTTTTTTTTTATAAAACTCTGAGAAATAAAATCCCAGCTGTAAAAGGTGGCATCATGCAAATTGACAAACAGATAAGAAAATAAGTTCCACTGAGTAGGAGAATTCATTTTTATGGTATCCCGAGATAAAATATCTAAACCAAATCCAATTTTATTCCGAGCCAACTATAAATCTAATAAACTTTGATTAATCAACCCACAACTTTATTTTTGCTCCTCCATAAATCCACACCATAACAGTCATATCCTTAGACTTCAAGATACGTGACTCCATACATATTTGTCACTAGTCACTGGCATCTAAGGAGTCATGCTTTACAGAAACTCTCTAGATCCATTTCCCAAAGCTTATAAAACACCTATATTTGTGTGTTTTCAGCAAGTCTTTCCAAGAAGATGTTATTTTTTCGCTGGCTATCCCATAGGAAATTCCTTTGCAATTCCCCTACCTATCAGCCAAGCAAACTGAGATGAAGTACAGGCATCCCATATAAACAGAAAAGCACCAATAACACAGCCCAAAATATGCAGGAAGGAACCCATCTCAGATGTCAAATTGGCTTACTTAAGATGGCTAATGCTCACACCCTTGTGTCAACCAAACTATCCGGAAGCCAGTATTCTTCCAGAAGCAGAAACTTTCTTCACATACATGCTAAAGACTTCAGTAATAAAAAACAAAAGCAAAGATGCAATGGAACCCCAACCCCTGCCCTCCCCAAACTATGATGTTCACAGTGGGAAAGAAACAGCTTCCCCATTTGATAGAAATAAAAATCTTACAGATGCAAAACTGAACTGACTGCTTCCACTTTAAAGCCAATATACAATTTTTATTTTAACAACAGAAGAAGCATCATAGGATGTTAGATTTTTTCAACTACCAATTTGCAGAGACCCCCGAACTCCCACCTTCCCATTAGTATTAATTAGCTCATTAGCAACTGACAGCATGAGCAGGACAGCATAAATAATTTGACAGCCTCCTGTGTAGACATTCTGCGCAGAAAAAATAAGACCACATTATTTAGAACTGTAATAACTGACCTCCTTATGTACTCAAACATCCCAGGAAGATGAGATTCCTTGTGTGAAAATTCTTCAATGTCCATCGGTAGAGGTTTCACAAAGTAGCCAATATCAGGTCGCAGCTTCACCAGGTGCTTTCTCCCATTACACACCAACACCAGCTTCAGAGGCAACAGGTGATGTTGGAAGCGAACCTGGAGAATTCTCTTCATAGTCTGACCAGGCTCCAGGTTATCAATCTCTTCCATAGGAACTAGAGTTGACACTTCGCTACGAGAGACCGGGGAACTGCATATCCAGACAAACTAGCATTGTTATGGTTGTTTTAAATACCATCAGACCCTTTTTTAAGGCATTCAACTCGATCATAAAGTGAAAAGACTAAATGATCGAGTAATATTCTATTTAGATCTGTTAGCTTCAATTTAAAGGACACTTAATGGATCGAGTAACCCCATTTTGTCATAGTCATATAGCCATGCCCATGGAGCAAGTCACGGCCTTAAAAACTAAAACAGATACAGATGGTTGCCTGCCAACTGGACCGAAATCCCTCTGCAGAGTCTTTATACACTCATTTGCATATGTATTTACAATTCCAATTTTACTACAGATGCACGCACCATAAGGGACCAGAAAAGTACAAGGCTATGAACCTACTTTTGATATCCAAATATTACAAAAACACGCACTTTAATAACATCAAAATCAAAATAAACTAGCTAGCAAGCCATGCCACAAAAACACACTTTAGAGGGTGTCTGGTGGGGATTACAATTAGATTTTTAGTAGATTGTGATAAAAGTTTTTGAAATGTGTGATTGAAGAGTTGTGGGACCATGAAAGATGGGGCTAATATTGATTGTTTGACTTTGACTTGGATTAAAATCAGATTTTAATCCGGACCAAACAGGGCATAATAACATCAAATTCAATTTAAACTAGTTACATATCTGGTAGCAAAATAGAATGGTTGATAAATGTGTATATACAATATGTCCGTGTTTGGCCTCTATGTCTTAACACTCATTTTCAACCACACATTTTATGTAACCCACAATTTTTATCAACTTTTCAACCACAATATTTCACCAACTTTTATCAGAATTTACTAAAAATCTAATTTTTATCCAAACCAAATAGGGGCCATATTTCATCCTTAAAACGTGATAATTCACTTTAACCGCAGAGTTCAATCATTAAAGTTGCATTAATAAAACTGAGTTACGGTTTCTGAATCATGGTTTTGGAATATTTTATCTCTGGATATACTATAACTTCGCTGAGAAATTGATGTTAACCACATACTTACTCTTCGTAGCATTGGTATAGGAATAAGCGACTGATTCTATCAAAACCACCACCTTTTGTTGCATCCCGCACAACACCAAAAAGGGGGGTGCAGGAAAAGTTCCAAGAGAATGTCATATATAGCCAACAGACGGTAAAAAGTTCAAGAAATATATCAAAGAAAAACAGAAGAAACATGGCATCAGAATTTCAGACATGCATGTTCTGCATATATTAAAATAGATCTGGGAATACCCTAGTGGGAAACGCTAGCAATGCAAACATTGAAGGATTAGCTCAAAAATACCTTTCACTCACTGACTGGTCTGAAGAATCTGGACTTCTGTTGGATTCCTCTTCAAAAAGTAAGATGTCTGACATGGGCTCCTCTGAACAGTTCCTAAAGGAAACATGTAGGCATACAAGCTGTGGAGATACGCTAGATACCTCAGATGAAAATATATAATCCACACTTAACCCATTTCCATTTGCAGGATCTAACAATGTATAAGATTTAGGTTTAACTAGGCCCCCTATATCCTTAATTGAGATTCTGGCCAATGATTTTCGCACATGACCTAGATCAGATGAATTTTGGTTCAAACCAGGATTTTCATCCAACCATGATTCAAGAGCTCTTTTAGACATCAATTCATCAACGCCATTAGAGCCAGAGGGATCATTCTCCTCTGAAACCTCAGCCACATTTCTATGAGTAAGGTCAGCATCTGAGAGATGAATTAAAGGTCCAGCATTGTCATTAACATCGCTAGCAGACCCGCTGATATAGCTTCCACCGCTTTCACTTGAACCAACCATAGATTCTTGCGAACTGTAATCAGACGTGTTTTCTTCATCCAGAGATCCAGATACAGCTTCGGAATCATCATTTTCATTTGGTTCATTATGTGCAGCACCAACTCCAGGCGTCTTTATTCCTTGCACATCAGTTGAAAAATCACAGCTCTCATCATAAGTCAGACTACAAGGCTCAGGCAGAGGTTCGTATCCTGGAGCTGCATGAAGCACTATCTGCGAAAGCGTTCCAGGTAGATAAAATCGATAGCTTAAGGGCTCAGAAGATGGCAGTTTTGTTTGTCCCCCAAATATGCTTTCTGTAAGTACATGTGTGAGGTCTTTAATTTCTGGTTGGTCCTGTACTTCTTCTAAGTAAGGAGATCCTATACGGTGTGACAGGAGATTCTTGAAAATACGAGCACGATCGCGAACATCATAACTAATGTCACATTTGGCAAGCTCAAGCAAATATCCTCCAATTTTTTTCAATATTGATATGTCTTCCCCTTTGGCACGTAAGAGAACCTGGAAAGATATGAAAGTAGCAATTGATTATCACCCAATGTTAGTATATGCTCTTCCATCGATGAAGCTTCCATGTAATATACACAGCATCCATTATATGCAACAAACTTTGATTTGAATTTACAATAATCTTCACAAAATGAAATGCAGGGGAACTGGTAAAAGTACTATGTTATGAGAATCTTGATAATGAAAAGGTACAAAAATGCTAGATACAAAGTTTGAGATAGAATAAAGTGTTTCTCAAGTTGATGCTGCCAGAATCAAGTGCTGTTGGAACAGACAGTGCCAATCAAATAATAGAAGTAACATTTGATAGATCTCGAGACTGCACTAAACAGTAAAAATTAGGGATTTACATTGATAAAGTACATGTCAAGCAGATAAATCAATGAAAGTGACCACGTAAGCATCGGAAATGTATTTGAGACACTTATTGGCATACACAGAAGCACTTGCGAAAGTGATGCAGGATTAAAACTAATACAGTATTCAGGATCATGCTATCAAAAATAGTTGTCCAATGCTGTAAAGAAAAGTAATATAATCAAAAGCACTTAACCTACCTATCAAAAAAAAAAAATAGCACTTAACCAGACAGTTGTCTGCTGTTCAGGAAGTAAATGGTTCGCTCACAAATAAGATCATCAGATATAAAGTCCAATATTTAGATAAGCAGGCACTCTTGACAATATGTTAATAACTAAGTTTTTAGACCAATTGAGTTGTTGTAAAAAAACAATGTAGCATTTACAGTGTTGCTTGGCTCCATATCCATATTTCATGTATTCACTAATATAATTACTCCTAATTATTATAAATTAACTGATCCCAAAATATAACCACATTTAATCACAAATTCTTTTTAGAAACGCACCCAGTAATAGTTACCACTCAACTATGCAACTACTGTTAATAGGAAAATAATATTTCTGTCTAAAGAAAAACCACCAAGAATAAAATTCTTTCGTAAATGATAAATTCAACTGCACAATAAGATGTAGACAGCAAGTGGTAAAAAATAAAAGCAATAATTGCTAACTACCTTGGCACAGGCATTAAGAATCTGGAGCTTTGTTTCAGCTGCTTCCATAGTAAAGCGTCCACCAAGATATCTAAATAACGTTGGTAGTACTTTTGAAATGACACCACCAATATTGTTGTACTCACCCACCATCCAAATAATCATTGCCCGTGCTGCAGGTGCCCAGATTGAATCCAAGCTTCGTACCAAAAAGACAATTACCTTTAAATTGAATAAGTAAGTTTCATCAGATTGTAACCACATGTACAAATATTCAGGTATGTCTAGCATTTTATTACCCAGTATGGTCAACAAGTCAGGTATTTCTAGGGCAAAAGTTACGTAGAGTTTTTCAACAAAATTATCAAGTACAATCTGGCATTTCACCATATGTCACACTAATCATGGAAGGGTTTAGTAAAAGATATTCAAATTGGTCCTCTATTCTATTAAATGTATCGGTATCACTAATAGAAGACCAGGATACATACAGGACAATTAAACAACATATACATTTCTTTCATAAACCACATCCATGGAACATGGTTTCTCACATGGATGATGGGATTTATCACCACATTTTTTTATTTAAGCACATTTTATGACTCAATATATTAGGAAAATTAAGATTTAAATATATAACATCAGAAACATGCATAAATATAGACCAAAACAGAAGAAAAGATTGATTGGGAAGTTTACCTTCTCGTGACTGGGAGGATCTTGTTTTATAATTGTTTTTATAGAATTTATTGCTTGAACTAAAACAGCTTCCTCATCTGCTGATGCAACGTCTTTATTTGAGGATTCTGAGATGTTGATATCAGATCCATAAAATTGTCAATAACGAGAAAAGAAAAGACAATTAAAGGATATAGAAAAATAGAAGCACCAATCAGCAGTGATCATTGAGCAAAACAGTGGTGATTACCAGATAAAGCGAGAGCCAACAGCCCTTCCAAACATGTCTTAGCTACATCTGGAAGTCGCTGTGAACATAAACCGATTGCAGCCACAGTATCTGCAGCAAACCTCCTGTCCTGATCTCTAATATAATCCTAGAGATGCACTAAAAGATAAGTTTCAATTGACAAAAATCAATTCAATATATCAAGACCCTAAGAGGTGATTTTATCTTTAAAGAGAAACGTGATAAGGCATCCTCACAATGAGAAAATGAATTGAAACCCTCCAAGGACGCACCAGTAGCAAAAGATATGAATCAATTCCGTCTTAATAAAATCCACTTCAGCTAAGACAAACACTTTGACTGCGTAAATAGCAGATTACATAAACATCAGAATTCAAGTACCTGAAACTCTAGAAAAATGGCAGAAATTGATGAAGATGTTGCAATTGAGGAAAGTATCTCAAGCTTCAGAGCTTTTACTTGATATGAATCCGAAGAGTTGACAAAAAAGTCTTCAAAGTGGGGAACAAATAGAGATGGCATTGCTTTGGCAAAGACTTGAATGTTGCAGAGGACCTGCATCAGAAAAGCATTAAAAGAAGATCAACCAAGACAAGGTTTTCTATTGGTGCTAGCTTTGATGCCATGATGCATATGAACAAAATTGGAAGGCAGTTGTTAGCTTATATCTTAAGAAAGAAATATTATGTATCTGCTACCACACAACATATGCTGTCAGGAACAACTGCATTTCTTGAGATGTCTAACAGAGCCTCTAACTCTAGATAGACTTCTTGACAATGTCTATTTATCCTTTGCCACATCAGCCAGACCGAGTCCAGTCATATCAGATTGCCATGGAGATGAATTTCTTTAGACATTATCTACTTTTGATTATATGGCCATTTTTGCAAGCAATTCATGGAAGCATGAGATGATCTAACAAAAGGATAATCTACCAAATACAAGGAAATAAATCAAGCGTGTTGTAATAAGATCGCAACCCCACATAGCTCAGCATGTCTGTTGCAAAGGGTGTAGTCACCAGAAGTAAAAGGAAATTTATCCATATAGGAGCATTTCCCTTTCTGCTTATAAGAAGCGAATTTTATATCACCCTTTGTTTTTCTATTACCTGAACTTGCACATTCAAAGGTGAAATTTCATAGATGCTCAAAAAACAGAATCTGATCAATGACCTCTAAGTAACAATACATAAAACAAGAAGTATGTAACAAAGCAATTAGCATTGAAATTTGATCACTGATTCTAAGTTCGCCTTTAATTAAAATTTAAAAGAAAGAGCAAAGTACCACATATTTTGAAGCATTAGATGATCTAAGTAGAAACAACAATGGCTTCACAATCTTTTTAATGTCCTCCTTTGGTGCCATGATCCAGTGGACCCCAGCAGCAGCCAGTACTACTGCACTATTATGACTCCATAATAATGGTGATGTACACTGCAACAAAATCTTCACATCATCATTGCTTTTGGAAGAGGTAAAATGGGAAATATCCATCGAAGAAGTATTCTTATCCATGCAACTTAACCGAGATAAGTACTTCTCAGGCCCTTCAAGGTAACTCCTGGAGACTACATCTGCTATATCAGAACATATCTCACCACTGATGTTACCAGGGTTTTCTGTCATTGCAAGATGAGGTTCCAGGTCCTCCCTTTCTGAATTATACTTCACAAGAGAACGCGAAGATAACATTATGGATCCCTCAACAAGCCCATGCTTTGCAACTACATATCGTAAAAGGATCCCAACCAAAACAATCTGACCCCATTCTTCCACATCTGGAAGAGTCTCGCACAACTTTTTGTAATTTCTTCCAATCAAAGATAAATTATTGGGACAAACAGAAGCAAATGACGCAGCAGCAGCTCCAACTACTCCAGGAGAATTATCATTCAACAATATCCCAACTATCTGCATAATATAAGTTGCCGATAAGTCATAATACATGCAAGAGTGAGAAGAGAAAATTCCCAAGTCAGGAAATCAAACTCTTCAGAGAAAGAGAAAAGAAAACATCATCCAATGAATAAGGCAAAATTAAGAAAAATCAACACTTAAATGCAATATGTGCACTTCTGCAAGATAAGAGCACATCAATTCATGTAATTATGCGTGATTAATCCACATCTGCTCCATAGCTCGTATTGCAACTATTATTACAAATAACAAAGTCCTCTGACACAAAAGTTTGCCAACTAGCATCAAAAGCCTGGATTTGCAACAATTTCCATTTGGAGGAAGATTTGTATTTTATGGTGAATATAAAGATTGTTTCGATATTTTCCGGGCCTGGGTAAATATCAAGCTGTCATTCGATTTATCTAATGTTAACTTCACTCATATTAATACTGAGAAATTTCAAAAAGTCTTAGCTTGGAGAATTTCATTACTATTGAGTTCCCCAGGGTTTAGAATCTCTCGTCCTAAAAACTACGTGTTCTTAGTGAAGCAAGTAGAAACCAAAAAATTAACAGCCCGAATGATTGCAAAGGATTTGATTTGATTGGATTGGATCCAGAGGGGAGCATGTTCGATGGAATATTTTCTTAGAGGTATTACCGCACCCCATCTTTGAGTAGATATAGTGGTGATCCAAAAGCAATGACAAGAAAAAAAATCATGTCGATGACACCTGTTGCAGGAGGGGATTTTCATAGCTAGCCTCGAGTTTCCAAGAATTAGAATAAATTTATAAGAATTCACACGGTCGACACCAACATAACCCTTTTCTCAATATTTACACCATTATTTAGCACTAAATTTTAAATTTTAACTGCCTATTGCAGCGGGGGATTTTCATACATAATGTTCCTACATCTAATAACATTAAAAGCTTTATTTCATGCCACTTCTTGAAATTAATTTCTTATTTAAAAGAAACCTATAAAAGCTTAAGATTGAATATCCCAACATACTAAACTCTTTATTTTCCAACAAGTGTTTAATATTCCCTACATTACAGCTTAGGAAGACCGGAAAGAAGAGGAAGATAGAAACAGTACAGAAACTTAGCCTTGTATTTTAATTCCTTTACCCTTTACCCGCTTTCATAAAGATCAATTATGCTTGGAAAAAGAAGTAAAGTGTTTAGAAAAAAATAGCAGTTGTGATTTGACCTCTTCTATTGGAGCTGTGTGTTCCTCCAACCGCAGATCGTGTAACTTCGGCAGTGCATTTGCGGCACACTTTCTAACATAAACTGATGGATCTCTGGCACATTTTCCCACAGCCATCAGAATTAGAGGTGCAATCACGTGCAGTCTGATGCCTGCCATTGTACGGAGTGCCCGTGCCCTTACCAATGGATTAGGATCTCCCAAGTCCTTTTGAAAACAATTTATCGACAGCAACGCTTCATTTGGCCGCCTAATAACAGAAGTAGTAGGTCATATGATTACCATTAGTTATCAAATAGAGAAAGATTTAACAGTTCGTTTCCCAAGTTGTCTTGTATAAGTATATTTAACCAACTATTAGTAAGCAGAGGGAAAAAGGGGAAAAAAGAGCAATTTAGATACTACTGTCTGGCATACTTTTCAGCATAGTGCAGGAGATACAAGTAAACGAGCTTCTTAACTTCCAGGGACTGCGACGCCACATTTTTCACCACCTGTATTCCACCAAGTACCCAAAAGAAATCGAATGAACTCTTCAAGCAGAGAAAATCTTAAAGCTTCAAAAGTAGAAGTCAAATAGCCGAGTGAAAAACCAACATTAAGCCTACTCACATTACATACAAATCAAATTTATTTCTCCCGGATTATATGAGAATTCAACAAACCTACCTAATTGAATCCTCAATCCAATCGAACACTTAGAGCTACATTTTCACAATTAGCTATAGTATTAAACTTCAAACGTTAATTGTCAAAAAAGAGACATGGAGTTCAACTTCTATAGTATTATACTTCTTAACATATAAGTCAAATAGCCAACTTTAATCACGCTGGGTACAAAATCGAAGTTACTTCTCTCTCAAATTACATAAAATTACCTACTCAAATCCCCAATTCAATCATACACCAAAAGATTACGTTTGTACCAAAAGTTAACATGACAAATGTAATTTCTCATTCAACGAATAAAAAAATCTAATTTTTTCGAAGTGGTTTGAATTAATTCAAGTTAATAACGATAGGGCGAAGTGAACTACTGGAACCTGAGGGAAGTAACTGGAGACGTCAAAGCCCTGGGCGATGAGCGCAAGCAACCTCTTGAGGGCCTCGCATTTCTCGGAGTCGAACTTGCTGTCAAGGAGTGGAGCGATGCTGACGTCATCCGGATCGTCGTAAAGATGAGCATCGGTGCCGATCCGGAACACCATCGTCGACGCCTTGCTCAGCGACTCCGCCGTCGCTCCGAATTGCGAAAACATTTCCCTCTCTGTTTTTCGATTGGTGTTTTTGGATTCTGTCAGGTTGAAGCTGGCATGTTAATAAATTAGAATTTTATAGGTTTGTATTACATGTTAAGAAATTTTTCAAGAGCACTCAAGAGTTGCAAAACAATTCGACAAACTTGATATTCGTGCCTGGGCAACGGGTGCCCGTCCCATTTAATTTTAAAATATATATTTTTTTAATTCAATACTTTAAATGAAAAATTTCACGAAATTTCTTTAGTTCTAATAAAAAATAACAACTAAAATTATCTAAAAAATATGACAAATAATAAAAGTTTTAATTTATCAAATATATTTGAATTTAACTTTTAAAAATAAATAAAGATTGAAAAATATATTATTGTCTCACTCTAATGAATGGGGAATGAGTGAGGGGAGTAAAATAAATTATCAAATAATTTAAAAAAAATAAGAGCGGCCCCGCCCCCCTCCGCTCCGGCTCCGCTCTGCCCTGCCCTATCTTACCCTAAACGGGTAACGGGGCGAAGACAGAGCGGGAAATTTCATAGCGGGGCGGGGAGATTGCCCCGACCCGACTCGCCTCATTGTCATTCCTAGATTGAGCCTATTTTTTGTCCAAAATGTATTTTTGAAATAGTATTTTGATGAAGAAAGTGTAATCGAAAATTTTTTTAAAAAAAATTGAATTTACGTGTGATATTATTTTATTGAATAATGTGTTGTTGGAAATAGGAGGAAGATAATGTATTTTAAAAATTAAGGAAACCAAACAAATAAAAAAATTGTAGTGGATGAACATTCTTGCGTACATCGTCTCTTACACTTCCCTATGTAAGATGATATAGGCAGGAAAGAGAAAGATTGTTGGGGAGATCAAACAGGGGTGATGGTGTCATGTGGCAAAGTGTAAGGGAAGATGTACACAACTATACAGAAGTGTATATGGCGTGGTTGAAAAAAAAAAAAAGACTTCATAGCAGAAATATACATGACGGTGTGCGATATACTTCTTTATGTATTAAAAAACGCAGAAAATGTCCCTATTTAAAACTTTGAGTGCAGAATACAACATTTGAAGTGCGAAAAAACCAACGTGGGTGTATGAACTTTGAAGTGCAATCCACTCGATACCATTCAATTTCGTTGCTTTAGCAGTTAAAAATAGTAAAAATCGTCAATTTTGAAAATGAATAATTACAGTTGTGATCCCCTGATTTGCTTATTTTTAGAGATGGCAAAACAAACCCGTTCAACTTGAAATCCGTGGGGCCCCACACCGAATGGGGCGGGGATTATCCGCCTAGTCGGGTAAACAGGGCGATGATCATTGCCACAAAGCGATATGGGACGAATAAAGGAATCATGGTCCCGCCCCAATACCCGTCTCATTTAAAATTAATTTAAAATTTAAGTTTTTTATCAAACAAAAATAATAGATTTATCATATTTTTAAAGAGAACGTAAAGTGTTTCTAACAAAGCGGTAAAAAAAAAATAATATTTACTAAGTAAATACATAAACAAAATAAAAGCAAAAAAATAAATAAATAAAAAGAAAAAATAAATGGGGCAGAGGACCTGCCTCGCCCCGCCTCTATCCGAACCCGTCTTGTCCCGCTTTAAACGGGGTATGAGATGGAGCAATGTAATAAAAATACCCGATTGGCCAGGGATGGGAATGACCGACCTGTCCCATATCTGCCTCGTTGTCATCCCTACTTATTTTTATTATACTAGGTGTCGTGGCAAAGTCTTATTTTTGAATAGAAATAAGTGGAGAGAGTAGAGATGATTTCGATAAACCGGTGCATGAGCTGAGGTTCCCATGTCTTGTTAACCCTCCGAAAAGTCAGGTCGCAAAATAGCTCATAGGGAGTCAAAAGCAATCAAAGATTCAAAGTCAAAGCGAGACTTGCCATGGGGGATTGACCAACTGTGAATAGATCTTACTTACGGGTAAGGGTAGGAACATCTATTAATTCGTATCGTAGATCTACTTGTTACAAATGGCGAGCAGCCCCATTCCAAAACATGCACAGAGGTCCTCATGTAGACATTGAAAAAGGAGACTAAAAGAGTCTATTTACCTTTGATACCTCAAGAGTTACATTTGTAACTTAATGCTATGTACACACGGTGGTATTCTATCTTTCCAAGTGTACAACTCTCTATGTTTTGGGATCATAACTGTAATTATTTATTTTTCAATTTGACAAATTTTACTATTTTTAACGGCTAAACTAACGAAATTGGATGATGGGGAGGTGAATCGCACTTCAAAGTTCATACAGAGAGGTTTTTCGCACCTCAAAGTTGTATTATGTACTCAAGGTTTCAAAATAGGGATATGTTACGCAATTTTCAATAGATAGGGGGTATATAGCACATTGTCATGTTTGTATTGGTTTTTATGCTAATAAGCCAAGAAAATTTTTTGAAATTAGATATAAATATATTTTTTATTATAAAATGTGATTAAAAATAAATTTTAGGAAAATGAATTTTCAAAATGACAAAAAATAAGCCTATGCTTGGGTAGAATTTGTAAATTGTTTAATTTTTTATATAAATGACTGGTGAATAGACGTTTTGAACCTATACATTTGATTGAAATGGGCTAAGATTTAGAATCTAGATAAATGAATATTTCACTCTAATTGGATATAAACTTGTGCGAAAAGGGCGGGAAAACTCTGAAAACTTATTTGTTGAATGTGTTTTGCTACATGTATATCAGAGTTACACATTGATATACATAATATTCAAATGTCATTTCATTATTGATGAGTGGAAAAATATTTTTTTTCACCAGCCATGATGAAATGTCGTTTGGACATTATGTATGCTAAGATGTAAATCTTGATGTACATGTAAAATAATTCCAATTGTATTACCACATACCCTCAAGGCTTAAATGTTGATAGACATTTCTTTCTTCTTGTCACTTTTAACAAGTTAATTAAGGGTGTGTCTGGTGGGGATTAAAAGGTGAATTTTAATAAAAAATTTAATTGTTACACATTTTCTTCTGATTAATAATGTCAGAATTGCAGGTAAGTGGCAGACATTTTATCAAGAGAAATTTCACAACTGTCCTTAACAACTAAAACTCACTGACGGTCAGAAAATGAAAATAAGGGTAAACTTGACAAGTGAACTATTGACCCTGCAATTGTCAAAAAATGAGACAGAATTTTGTTGGAACCAACGGTCGGATTTTCGATATTAATACAAAAGAAATCGTTACCAGACACACCCTAAATCAATGCTCACTGAATTTATACTAGATTACTACTTGTTCACTGAATAAAAAAAATGTTATTCACGCTTACTTGTCTATTCAAAAGTTTACCCATCTATCACTCTTCTCAAATCTATTATCCAAAATTGATGAAAAATTTCATGCGTGAGACAAAAACCTGATGTGGCAACTTAACAACGTTAATTTGTCCACTTAGACTTAAAAACACATTCAAACAAAATGTCAACTTCCGTTTAATTCGTAAAACACCTCTTCTAAACCTTAAATTAAAAAATCCCCAAATTAGAAACACAAAAATTACCAAATCAAAATCCCTAATGGTGAACCCATGCCTTTATCCAAACCAAATTTAACAATTTGCTGTATTGATTGAAATGTGATTTCTCAAGTGTAAGAGTTTCAAAAGAAACCATATCTACACGTAAAATTAAAATGCTTGCCTTGCAACTTAAGCATTTTGTCATTTTAACATTGTCCCGAAAATGGTTGACGGGTAATACATAAAAGCAATAAGTGAAAGGATATGTAGTTTGATATTCTCGAATGGTGGCAACCAAACGAAAAAAGTATTTAGCTATTACATTTGATAGCACGTGGTCTATTAAAGCCACATGATGTCAATTGTAACATTAGAGACTGCATTTTGATTAGCTGGTAGGATTTTGTTACACACAAAAAAATTGTTGAAATAAGGTATATATATAAAGTTCTAATGTGAGGACGTGCAGACTATCGAATACAAAAGAAGAATTTTAACCAATAATTTTTACAGAGTTTTGGTACACTAAGTTTTAGAGATATTATTGTACATTGACATTTCATTTGTTTTTTTAAAAAATTGCACACGAAATATGCATTCATGTACAATTTTAACTTCGCATATATATTATAGTTGGTTTCAAACCCAAATAAAATAAGAGAATTTTTACAACTTTATAATTCATTTGGCAAAATATAATTTCTTGCACGATTTCCTTACAAATTCACAGTTTTCATTGTACTTCTACGAATAAAAATATAATTTTCAATTAAAAATAAACGTGGGCCGAGAGTGGCTCACGAGCCAAAATAGGCAAGTTCGATGGGGCAAGCCCAGCGAAGCCAAGCTAGGCTTTATGAAAATGAGCAAGTTCTAGCCTGACTCATTCCATGTACGAGCGTGAACTTTCTCAAATAACAAATCAAGTCGAATTATGCTACAAGTACATCAAGAGATACATAAAGGTGTCCATAATGGACACCCGGCGCCCCTCTATTGGATGGAGTGCAGGTGGGGCCAACACTCCATCGGGGCGCCAGGTGTCCATAACGCCGGGTGTCCATTATGGACACCCTTATGTACCCCTAATGTACACTTAGCATTTTCCAATCAAGTCGAGCTGAGCACGAGTTAATTCGCACGGCCAAGACGTGAAACTCGGGCTTGGTCGACCATTGAACATCCCAAGTTCAATAATTTGTTGTCGTTTGTAATTAGCTCTCGACTGTAGTAAAAAAAGTGACATTTTTGAACAACTTGAGTGCACATACAATTTTTTTGTGTATTTTCAAATTTAGTGACATTTGTGAAAATCTCCCTAAATTAAAATGCTAGCCTTGCAACTTAAGCATTTCGTCATTTTAACATTGTCCCGAAAATGGTTGACGGGTAATACATAAGAACGATACGTGAATGGATATATAATTTGATATTCTCGAATGGTGGCAAACAAACGAAAAAAGTATTAACTATTACCTTTGATAGCACGTGATCTATTAAAGCCCTATGATGTCAACTGTAACATTAGAGACTACATTTTAATTTAGGTGGTAGGATTTTGTTACACAAAAAAATGTTGAAATATATTTAAAGTTCTAATGTGTTTAAGTACTGACAAAGTGTAGACTACCGAATACAAAACAAGAATTTTAACCAATAATTTTTACAGAGCTTTGGTACACTAACAGCCTGTCTGGGAGGGCTTTTCAAATTGTGAAAATTGATTTTTTGGCCGTTGCTTTTTGACCGTTTCTCACGCAAGAGCCAACCGCAATATTGGAATTGTCACCGTTGTGGGCCTTCAACGGTCAGAAAAGGAATTTTACCTCAAAATTAATCGTGACCAGACAACCTCTAAGTTTTAGAGAGATTATTGTACATTGATAATTCATTTGTTTTTTAAAAAAATTGCACACTTCTTGCACAATTTCCTTACAAATTCGCGGTTTTCATTGTACTTCTACGAATAAAAATATAATTTTCAGTTAAAAATAAACGTCGGCCGCGAGTGGCTCACGAGCCAAAATAGGCAAGTTGGACAAGCCAAGCTAGGCTTTATGAAAATGAGCAAGTTCTAGCCTGACTCATTCCATATACGAGCGTGAACTTTCTCAAATAACAAATCAAGTTGAGCTGAGCACGAGTTCATTCGCACGGCCAAGACGTGAAACTCGGGCTTGGTCGACCATTGAACATCCCAAGTTCAATAATTTGTTGTCCTTTGTAATTAGCTCTCGACTGTAGTGAAGTCAAACTGATCAACCCTCTCGAGTTGATACTATTTAGGAATTTGCAAGTTGCAACCTTTTCAGTTCACTTCCCCATAGCTCGCGAATACCAACGCCATTTTTCACTCTCGTTCGTCCTCTACTCCCCCAAGCCCACTGTCTCCTTCTGCATAGCAATTTTACGGATCTGAAGTATACGTTTCGCAGCTATAAAATTGCTCCGGTGAGTTAAATTCAAAGAATTTTTCCTTCTGCTTTATGTTGTGAAGAATTTATTGTGTCTTTCATGTGCTAGTTCGGTATGATATTTTTTCGTTTTTCTGTTTCACCTCCTTTTGCATTATTTGATTTCTGCCTGTCAATGTTCTTGTGCTGTGAAAAAAAGGGAACTTTTTGAGAGACTGAAATTTTTTTACGGTTTGTAGCTCAAATTTTACTCTTGCAAGTCATTTCCGCCAAATCTCGCTTTACTTTTGCTTCTCTCTCGGCTTTTAACTACTTTCCAGTCGTTCACGTGCTAATTACGTATGATGTTTTCCTTGCATGTTCATGTTTCCTTTTTAATTCTGTTTGGGGTGGTTTGATTTCTGCTTGTTATATGTTCGAATGCTGTGAAATGGGGGAAGAGGTGGCTTGCGTTCAGTTTTATTTTTCCTCGTTAAATTAGGTAATGCAGTTGCGACTTCCCAATTTGTGCAGATCTCCATTTTGTGATTTGTGGGAATTTATTTTGTAGATGACATTGTTTTAGTTGTTCTTAGCTCTTATTAGGATTTTTTTTTTTTTTGGTTAAATTTCTCCCCAACAGTATTGATGTTGATTGACATGGTTTATAAGGTCACTATTGTGCTTAATAGTTAATACCACCTTGTTTGATCTCTTTCTGATATTGAATGAAGCCTTAAGTTGCCATTTTCTTTTGCAGTTTACCTAAATAAATCTTATAATGCCAAACACTTTTTCTGATGGCTAAATGATTCTGCTTTCGACTGAAAATTAGTGATTATATATTTCTTTCATTTGCAGTCAGTGCGTTCATCATTTGATCGAGTCTCATGGGAAGTTCGACAGAGTACAGTTCTGGAGACGAAACTGACATGAGTGATTCTGAAATTGAGTACGAGGAGAAAATATATGAAGAACTGAAGAATGGTAATCACCTGTATAGAGTATCTGACGACGCTTACACTTGCCCCTTCTGTCCAAATAAAAGGAAGCGAGATTTCCTGTATAAGGAACTCCAGCAGCATGCACTTGGTGTTGGTAAGTGCAATTCACAGAAGCGAACCAGGAAAGACAAGACAAATCATCTTGCATTGGCAAAATACTTGGAAAATGATGTAGCTGTTGACGCTGGTCCTTTACAGCAAGCTACTATGGTCGATCCACTTGCAGACCATGATCGTGATGAGATGTTTGTCTGGCCTTGGATTGGAATTATTGTTAACATTCCTACTGAATTTAAGGATGGTCGCTATGTGGGGGAGAGTGGTACTAGACTGAGGGATCAGTTGACCAAGAGAGGATTTAATCCTACTAGAGTGCGACCTCTCTGGAATTACCACGGACATTCAGGAACTGCTCTTGTAGAGTTTCAAAAGGATTGGTTTGGGTTCAACAATGCCATGTCCTTTGAGAAGGCTTATGAGGCTAATCAGCATGGAAAGAGAAGTTGGCAGGCAAAAAATGACTTGAAATCTGATCTGTATGGGTGGGTTGCTCGAGCAGATGACTACAATTCTGATACCATTTTTGGAGAAAATCTACGTAAGATTGGAGACCTCAGAACTATTTCTGATATCATGGAAGACGAAGCTCGGAAGACACAGAAGCTTGTTGGCAATTTAACAAATGTCATCGAGGCAAAGAAAATGCACTTGCTAGAGATGGAGAATAAATTTAAGGAGACAGAGAACTCTCTTAGCCAGTTAATGATTGAGAAGGATCAGCTTCTTCAAGAGTATAACGACGGTGTGTCTTCTCTGCAATATGGCATTTCGCTAATTAAGTCTTACTAGTTTTTTATACTGACATGTTTGTTTGTATTGATCAGAGATAAAAAAGATTCAGTCAAGTGCACAGGATCATTTCCAAAAGATATTTAATGACCACGAGAAGCTGAAGTTGCAACTGGAAACACAGAAAAGAGAGCTTGAGCACCGGGGTCATGAACTGGCAAAACGTGAGACTCATAATGAAAATGAGAGGAGAAAGCTTGCTGAGGAGCTTGAAGAGGTGCTTCATTTCTTTCTTGCATATCTTTCTTGTTTGTGTGTTACCCACATTAATGTCTCAGTGATTTTGAAGGGGACAACCATTAACATTCAGAGCTTTCCCTCTTTCTTTTCTCTTTCACACATGAGCAGATCTTTGTATTTTTAAAAGCAAATCTAGGTCCTTGTTTATAGAAACTTACAAGAACATAGATCACCTCCACAATCTTCCAGGAACTAAAAAGTGAATTCTCTTGGAATTTATTCTTAGTAGTAGATCTCTCAGAACCATTTTGATTATATTATACGTCATTTCTCCATAGAAACATAAGAAAAAAGATCAGAAAAATATTATTATTTTCCCAAGTCCACACGTTGTGAGTTTTTACAGACCCAACATTCTGAAACATACCCCACCAGACATGTAGACCCAGTTCCGAGTATCGTAGGCATAGATACAAGGAAGCAGAGCATCCGCACTTGCTATTCTGTCAGAAAGAGTCCTATCACCATCCCATCCATGTTGAACAATTCTTGGCCCTATCTAGAAAATAGTCATTGAAGTTGGGTAGATTTGTTTGATGAGATAATATGGTTACATGCACTGTTCACTATTATTTTTCTGCTTTTCCTTCTTTGCTAGTAAGTGGATAGATGATTCGGTTACCATTGTTCTTCCAGAATGCTGTCAAAAATTGCTCACTTCAGGCTGCTACTAATGAGCAAAGAAAGGCTGATGAAAAAGTTATGAAATTGGCTGAAGAACAGAAGGTATTTAATTGTTCTCATCATCATTAAGTAGAGTGATGATGTTTATTTCAGTATGCCTATTTCAAAAATCATATATGAGATTTTGTAGTGTAATTCTTGATTTCAGAAACAAAAGGAGAACCTCCACAAGAAAATCATTCAACTGGAGAAACAACTGGATGCCAAACAAGCAGTAGAACTTGAAATCGAGCAATTGAGAGGCAAATTAAATGTTATGAGGCATATGGAAGATGAAGGTGATTTGGAAGTGCTGACAAAAGTGGATTTGCTGCTCAAGTCATTGAGGGAAAAGGAAGGAGAACTTGAAGATGTATTGGCATTAAATCAAACTCTGGTAGTGCAGGAGCGCAATAGCAACGATGAACTGCAGGATGCTCGTAAAGAATTGGTTGACGTAAGCTCTATAATTCTTTTCCATTTTCAGCGGTTCAGAAATCCGTATCTCCACCTGTTTCTTACCTATAATGTGCTACCATTCAGATTTTGTACTAGTTGGCTGTCTTCGAGAATCTGACAAGTTAATTTTATTTGAGTACAGCTCATCTCCTGAGCTTATGAATTTTGTAGTTGATACTCTTGTTATGTCGATACTTCTGTTGCATGACGTAATTGTAGTTTCACTCATTGTAGACTTGTGGAAAATTTGGAATGCCCATGTTAGATGAGGGATTTTATTCGACCCTCCTAGCTGAGCCAATGAACATTAGTTGGAACACATGTTAATTGAGGGAAGAATTATGTCATTGTAGCCTCGTATGCTAAGAGTCATTTGCAAATAACATCTACAATGTCTAAAATGATTCATCTCCTGTAATGATTTTCAAATTTTTCCACATTGCTAATGATAAAGGTGATGTCAATCTGGACTAAAGTTTAGTCTCCCTTTTGCTTGATCAGAGAGTCGAGATTTCAGTACACTTTATTAGTATTTTCAAAGTTCCATTCATGTAATAGACATTGGATGGATCATGCAACTCATGAAGATAAGGTTTCCTGTTATATTTTTTTACATGTTTTTGCTCTCGCAAGCTTTATGCAGTATCTTATTTTAGTTACTTTCTAGGGATTGAAAGAATTATCAACAAATGGTCAAATTGGTGTGAAAAGAATGGGAGAACTTAACAGCATGCCATTTCACGAAGCAATGAAAAGGAAGTATAATGAGGTCGAGGCAGATGAAAGGGCAACAGAATTGTGCTCCCTGTGGGAGGAGTACCTTAGAGATCCTGAATGGCATCCTATAAAGGTGGTTGAGATTAACGGGAAACATCAGGTATGCAGTTAAAAGTGTATTTGTTGTAGCACAAGCTTATCTTTGAGGAAAATGAAATGGTTTAGTACGGATCTGTTATTGATTGTGCACTCATGTTGCAAACATATGCAGACCAAACAAGTTCTGCACTACCGCACTTAACCTCTGTAGCCTGTATGAATCAGCATTTTGTTTGGTTCATTGATACACCTACAAAAATCTAATGCACGCAAATCTTTTGCATATTAATTTTGGCCTATCTTCGTTGTTGTGACCTGTTCTAGTGAGATTATGTCACTCTTGTGGATGAGAGCCATAAACCAACATCTCCAACCACTTGTGTCAGCCTCCTCTAAATTTATCTTCAATTGGTGCCATTATATTCTTAGTTCTCATATTATCCATTTTGGCATTTACCAATGATCCATCTCAACTTCCCTGCGTTCATGTTATGGCACATTTCCCGTTTAACAATCGCCACTCAGCACAATTATAGCTGGTTTAGTAACTGTTGTGTAGAACTTAGTTTTGATGTTATAGGTATGTTTAGACAAATGTAGAATCCTTTACCACTTCTTGGTCTCATCCAACTACTGTTAGCCTATGCTTTACGTTCTCATCAAGTGAAGTTATCTATCTAAAATGATTTCTCTTTGAGACAATTCTCTATTGGTATCATCCTTATTCCTACTGTAACTAGAAGTGCCCCTTTGGAACTAATAAATAAATATTATAAAAAAGTAAATAGTAATACCGAGGTGTTTGTGTGTGTATGTGGTGTGGGGGGGGGGGG